GTTCGGCGAGGAATGCGTGAATGGTCGGAGTACGAGTCGGCCCAATTTCCACTCCCCTCACCCACCCCCGTCCCCGCTTCGTCTGAGGGCTGTTCTCGATCGACTAAGCCTCCAATTACAGCACTTCCGGTCGGGGCGTATCCTCACTGTCATAATCACCACATGCACCACCGCCGCCCCCTCCCCCCCATCTGCTCGGTCGCCCTAATCCCTGCCGGATCTGGTGTCATATTTTGTGAGCGTCAACCAACAACTATTTGCATAATAGAGGCAGCAATGGCGGCAGCGGAGGGCAAATCTTGGCAACGTTTCTGCACACGCCTACTGAAGTTGATACTTTCAGTGGGGAGAGATTAGTTGAGCGTCTAATGGTAGCGCTTCGACCAAATGCCCAAAATAAGATGGCTCTAACTGGTAGGCCCAATTGACCAGCTAGTTAGTTGCTAAAACGGTTATGAAGCGTGAGTCGGCTATATTTGGCCCAGGAACACAAGAAATTGCGCGGACACAAACTCAAGAAGATAGGAGGATGGGAACCGCTCGAAACCTCAAGAGGAAATGAGGTTAGGTTTAAGTCGAGCGTTAGATTGAAGGTTGACGTTAATGGAAGTTTGCGTAGGATTAGAATAATGGAATATTACTTTCTTTCTTATGCATAAGGCCACCCATATTACTTGTGTAGGGCGTTCCTTTGCCCATGCCATGTTAAGGGGGTCATATAAGTAACCCTTGCCAAAAACCTTGGGCGCACTAAATGCGACACAAATACGCCTCTTTTCAGCGTTGGACGTAACAGCAACCAGGGCTGGTTCTAAACAGACGAAAAAGAACGCATCTAAGTCGAATTTTATGGGGGACTCGCATGCTTTATCACAATGTTTGAATGTATAGACAACTTGGAAACATCTTGAGATGACGATAACTTCCTAGAATATGTAATGGCAAAACACGACAACACTTCTGTAACAAGCCACAACAAATCCCCACGTTCGGTCATGTACATGTCCACTGAAGTGTAAGAGCCTTTTATCAGAGACGCTGCGAGCGATGCTAAATATGCAGCCTTTAAATGGCTTCCAGAGGGCAGCTCAGACAGTAAGAATAGATAAGGTGCAGGGTATTGAGCGGATTCTTACCTGAGGAAAAATAAATCTGATCAAGCAACAGAAAAAAGTGTTTATCTATTGAACTTTTGAACGTGTGCAGAAGCTTATCTTCGCAGATTACGACAGCGACAGAAAAAAAAGATAGTTATAAGGCGTAGCTATCCTTAAACGATCAGTGGTGCAGGGCTCTGTATGCCAGTGCAAGATCTACACATCAATTTCATGATTTATCATCGGAGACCCAGTCCTTACGAAATTCACGGCTTGTCTTGATTCTGATACGGAT